TGTTATTAAAGGTAAAAAAACAAAATTGAAATTTATTAGATAATTATTAATTAAAAAATGTGACCACAAATTAAAAAATTAAAAAGGATAAATTTATCAATAAAATTAAAAAATTCTAATCCGCTAGCGGTTTGGTACAAAAAGTTACATAAACTAACTTTTTCAATCTGCTAACGATTTGGACCCTAACCGATATCCGCTAGTTTCAAACCACTAAATAAAAATTTTACCAAACATTTTAGTTGTAACGGTTTTGAAATATATAAATTTACCAAATACCTATATTTAGCGGTTTAGGTAAAATCGCTAACCATTACCTCAAAACTGCTATACCAAACGGAGCCTTAGTTTATATCTTTATAGGCATTAGGTTGTTGTCTGATACCTCATGGATCATGGATGAATGTTAATGTTGGCCCAAGAATCATCTTCGAAGTCATGGACTTTTTCCTTTCTCTTCCCTATATCTTTTTGAGGGGGAAGGCTGTCATTGTTCAGTTGGGCAGGTTGTCATTGTTCTGTTGGGCTTCTAGTTCTTGACTTGTCCTGGTTTAATGGGTTTCTTTCTGCTTTTTCGTGTTTGTCCTTTTCTCTTATGATTGCGGCATCTCCCTAGGTCTCCTTGGAACCATGGCTCCATGTGTGCTGCATGGAAGCAATGCTGAAAGACTTCTATCTGGTCCTGGGACATTTGCAATTCACTGCTGTTTACCATGCTTTTCATATCGTAACCGTACTGCCCTGCGGCGGATGTTTAACCTAGAGGCAAGTAATTCTCAAATCCTTTCCTGTGCTTTTAAACTTTAATATTCCATGAATTGAGATAAGCACTTGGGTTAGGCATAGCATGTGTTGATTTTCTTTAGTTGTTTCATGCATTACTTTTCTAGTATATTCATCCCTTGTCAAAAATAGAAAAGGGAAAATTTATCATTCTTATATCACGCTGTTGTGGGATAAGCTTTTGATTGCTTTTTATGACAGTTTTTTTGGTTGGTTTGGGGGGGTGTGAATAAGGCAACAAAAGCAACAATTAATTATCCAGTAAACGAATTACCAAACATCTTTTCAAGGCTTATTTATGTTGAGGATACTTTGACAAACAGGGCAGCTGTGAGGCACTTTATAGGTCGTGTGGCTGCTGTGGGAGCTGTTTGGAAGATGAGGTGCAACGTGAACGGTGTGAATCAGTTTGTGACTTAGTAACCCATGTCTTCTGCCATCCATGTGCACTTTGCCAGGAAGGACGTGAGATTCGCCGAAGGATTCCTCATCCTGGGTTTAATGCTCAGCCTCTTCTGGGCATGATTCCTCCTGGGGAGCAAACCATGGGCCGCCGACCCTGATTGCAACTACTACAAGCCTGCCTGCTGATGAAACAGCTTTACCCTGTGTGTTGTTATTACTGCTGAATAATGCTCTAGAATGACATGTTGAAACTTTATTCCTATCCTAAAAAAGGATGTTAAACTTTACTATATCTCCGATACTTGCCATCAGAAAAGTGAATGCTTGGTGTTGTCAATCAAGCGAAAATATGGTGTAAGGTCAGAAAAATGTTTATGTTACCTATATTCTGTTCATAAATGAATATTACTGTTATACCCTTGTCATTTTCTCAGACAATATATATTATATAATGATGCCCTATGCTTTCATTCATCTGATAATCTGATATGGTATCTGATTTCTATTGCTGTAAATGCTGGGTCTTGCCAAATTGAAATTGTGAAGGGACGGCAGTGTTAAGTGTTAACCTTTCCATTGTTTTTGATGGGAGAGGTTAGAGCAGAAAGGATTTTTGATATTCAGAAACCACATAAGATTCTAACTAATTTGAATACTTTGAGAATCAAACTCTGACTTAGATCAACAAGTTGTTGGTTAGAAGAGAAAGGATAAGCAACCATTTTTGTTTACTTGTGGGGTAGAAAAGAAGTTTACTTTGTCATGTCCTAGCCTCTCAGGTCCATTTTTTCTTATGCTATATGAATGGAAATAAGGATACCATCTTCCGTACTTCAAGGGGGAGACCTAACCTGGATATGAAGGGATCGCATTCAAAGCCTGGTGAAATGGCTCAGTGGAGGTTCAGAAAACGTCTAAATGGTAGCTAGAGTTGAATCCCCTGACCTTCTGCCTTTGAAGTCAGGCCCTTCTATGGGGCTAATTATGGGTTTTTTGGAAGAATTTAACTGAATAGTCTGGACCATCAGAAACATAACTACCCTGATTCAAATGTACCGATGGCTGATGCTTTCACGTAGGCAAGCTAAGCATTTAAGCCGATGAGCCATATTTGTTGAGGGGAAAACAGAGATAAACGCAGAATGATAGTGAAAACGCACTTCATAAGCACAAACCACTGTTCTTACTTACTAGCCCGCCCAAAAATAGGGTAAAATTCTAATTCTGAAGCCAGAGTTTAACTGTGACGACTCTCTTGACTGTCATGACATGACAAACTTCTGAAAAGAACTGTTAATACCGAGAAGAAAGAAAGAAAGAAAGAAAGAACTGTTATGGCAGTCTGACTAAATGTTAACGTTACACGGTTATTATGATAATAAAAATATTAATTTAAATGAATTTAATTATAAAAATAATTAATAATTAATAAAAGAATTAATTTTAATTATTTAATATATTAAAATTAAATTATATATTAATATTGTAAAATATTATAAATCATCCGTGTCATCTTAACATTTGGACGTCTGGTGATAACCCCAGCGAATTTTCGTGGGCACTCTCAAGATGATTTGGGCTCATTCAACCCTTACAATTAAACCAGACCAATTTACCAAAAAAATTTAAACGAGGCCAGTGATAGCTTAAATATCGTGCCCACGCCGCATGAAATGTTCCATCAGTGAGACACGACCAGATGAGTACTGGGGCCCTACATCACCAAATTTCCTCTTGCAAAAACATCTCATTAATTAAATAAAAAGTGGATTGGGATTGCGTGTCTCTAATTAAGACGCCTGTCACCACCATAGGATTAGGAGAAATGATGCATTAATATTGAAGGAAACCACATTGTAGTTTTATGTTAACGTCCAAAATAAATCCTGTTGACAATCTCCAGACTTGAATTATTTGA